AGCCCTTCGGTACAGGATTAGGAACCTTATGAAGCAAGCATGGGTCGGGGGTGGAGATATTACTACTGTAGCTGCTTATTTCTTTCGAATTAGGAGAACTGAGGGACCAACTGGGTAGAGTACAGTAGAAGATCTAAGCTGAGTTTTAGCCACCTAAAGAACCAGGACAGGACAGGATAGGTGGAGGGGTAGAAAGAAGGATGGAGCAGGGGGCCATACTCAGCACATCAAGTCCACTGTTGACCACCCTGAGGTGATTTCCAGTTCCTGGGCTGAGCAGACCCTTTTCCCATCACCTGCTACTTGACCTTTCTAGTTGGTCCACAAAGGGTGGAAGGAGGGCCTTGGATATGCAAGGCAGAGAATCCATCCTTGGACCTGTAAAGTGGAGAAAGCCTAAAGATCTTAAACCTTCTAAGAAGATAAGACTAGGCCCGTCCTAACCCAGCAGTAGCCTTGCCCTTCATGAATTTATCCATTTCCCTTTTAAAGCCTTCCAAGTTTCTAACCATCACCATCTCTAATGGGAATGAAGTCTACAGAACCCAAGAAAAAGCTGACACTCCTAGACCTGTTATTGTCCTAAGATCTTTACAGAAGGAGAAAGACCAAGTACTGCTCATGAAGGAGTTGATCCACGTCTTGATCTTCAGGCTTCAGAGAAGACAAGGCTCGCTGCCCTCATCCGAGAGCCAAATCAAAGCCCTGCCAGATTGCAGAGATGGGCTGAAACGATTGTCCAAATTCTGAACGTGGCCTTCAACCTCCAAAGTTTGAAGGCCTCGGGTTGGACAGCAGGCGGCAAAGCACCGAGTCTCCTGCAGCCGTGAGCCGTCCGTCTCACACAGCTTGATCCTGAAACTCGGTTACCAAGGATGTTCGGAAAGTGGCTGTTGTACACATCTCAAGGCAGTTGAATTTCCTAAGTGGATTACGCGATGCCTGGTGAAATATTTTCCTTTTGTTTGTCCTCAATTTGCTGATTTCATTAGTTCTCGCTGCAATCCTCGTCTGTAGCAAGGGAGAGGGCGGTGGAGGGGAGGGATGGGAGAGATGGCGGCTTCTCTCCTTCCCGCACGCACTTTGGAGTCTTCTCAGCAGGGCCAACAGTGGGGAAGAAATTCAGTTTCATCCATGCCCTTCTTGTGGCAACTGACTGAATCCCCAACTTCTCATGCAATCTGTGCACCCAAGAGCCATTTTCTGCTCAGTGAGACAACGTCATGCTTCCTCAAAAGATCTGTCTGTTGCAAACCCCAATTTGTAGCCCCGACTTGGGATGTTATCTCCCTTAGGGGTCTGCTCACAAGGAGTGCAGGTCTCTGTAAAGGAATTTGGAGCTGACCTTGGGAAAAGAGGAGCAATGAATGAGCCACTAAGGAAGGACGTGCAGAAAAAAATTATCCGGTGCTTTAAAAAGAGGAAAGTGTGAGCGAGAGACTTAGAATAACGCCGCCTTGATTTTGTTTTGTATCGGGGCAGAGCAAAACTTGGAGAGGCTTGCCAGATTCTGTTATTCTTAGTACAAGATTCTGGAATCCTTGCCATGCCTGTTTCTTAACCTGTCCTACCTCAAAGGGCTAAAACTCTGTCTCTCTTCTCCCTCCTTTTGTTATTCTTCCCATTTGCAAATTGCAGAAGCACAACAGATCATTTATTTTGAGCCATGTTTCTCAAACTTAGCAACTTTAAGCAGTGTGGACTTCAGCTCCCAGAATTCCCCAGCCAGCATGGCTGGCTGGGGAATTCTGGGAGTTGAAGTCCACACCACTTAAAGTTCCCAAGGTTGAGAAACACTGATTTTGAGGGTGGGCAACCTGCATCTATAGTCCCTATATAATTTCTCAGCATCCCAGCTTTGAAATTTGGGGGCTGAATTTCAGTGGAGCAATTTTGTGAAGATGTGGGATGGTTTTAAGGGGGGGCTTGGGTGCAACACCTCTCCAGCACCTCTCCCTCCAAACCCAGAAAGAAGCCGCAGCAAAACATTTGAGCTGCACCCATTCCCATGATCTCACCGCAACACTCAACAATAAAGGAGCCAGCAGTCAAGAAATGTGCCGCAGAGTCGCACTTGATGGAGCAGCCATGAAGGCCTTGGAAAAGATACTCAAATGCCATGATGTGTCTATGCGCACAACGATCAGAATCGTGCAAACCATGGGATTCCCTGTGACCTTTTATGGAAGCGAAAGTTGGACTTTGAAGAAGCAGAAGAGGAGGAGTATTGACGCCTTTGAACTTTGGTGTTGGAGAAGACGCTGAGAATACTGTGGACAGCCTAGAAAACAAATCAATGGATCACTGAACAGATCAGCCAGAGTTCTCCCTCAAGGCACAAATGATCAGGCTCAAACTCTCCTACTTCAAACTCATTTTGTGAAGACCCAGCTCTCTGGAGGAGGCTCGGATGCTGGGAAAGGAAGAAGGAAGGAGAAGAAGAGGACGACCAGCAGCAAGAGGAATGGACTCAGTTACAGAGAGGATGAATGCACCACTGGAAGACCTGAAAGACCAGGTTGGGGACAGATCATCATGGAGAAAATCGATGTGGTTGCTAAGAGTCAACACCAACTTGATGGCATGGAACTGGATGGCATGTCAGCACCAACTTGATGGCAATCACTGCAACACCAGATGGTCTTCTGAGGCCTCACATGTCCCCCACTCCTGATTTTTGCCAGAGGATGATTTGCCAGTGCTTTTGGAACTAGGAAACGGCCCACCCCTAATGAATTCATTTTGGGAGGAGTAGGTGCCAAAGAATTCAATAGGACTACTTCCAAGTTGATGCCTTAGAATATATTTGCAGGCACGGTTTCTGCTGATTTTGTTAAAAATAGCACTTTATTGAGCAAACTGGGTGGAATGAGTCGAGGTGCAGGGATATCTGTGGGGGGGGGGGAAGAGGCACATGACGCGCAGGTGTGATGGCATCATTGCATAAGTGGCACTAAGTATATCGGTAACCCTGGTGGCTTGTATTGAATGCCTAAATTTGGGGAAGAACATGCCCAAAATTATCAGAGGGGAGAAACTGAGATCCGAGATGTTCAGCCAGGCATGGCTGTTGGGTTCCTCTCACTTACCTGCTGTTTTTAAACCCCCGTTCCTTAAGCCTTTCCTTTGGATCGAAAAGTAGAAAATCCCTTTGAGAAAGTTTGTCTTTACCGGAGTGGAACGTGCATTGTGGATTTTCGGAGCAAGGAGCCGTCAGAATTTCCCAGTGCTCTCATTTTAAGCAGTATAACAGGCAGTGATTACCGTTTCTCTCTCAATGTTCGGTGCGTGCGTACATTTTGGGATGCGTGGGTAAGAAATAGGGGTTGCGGCTCATTTTGGTGCATTGTTGTAAAACAGGGAAAGCCTGGAGAATTTCTGGGGATGTGGAATTGCTCTTTCCTGCATATAGGCTGCCTGGCAAGGCAGCAGCACCTAACTGTTCCTGAAAAAGCTGCACAGGGTCAGACCTGATTAGTACTTGGATGGGACACCACCAGGAAATCTCAGGGCGGTAGGCTAGACATCTTGGAAGAAGGAAATGGCCAACCATTCCCGTGCTGTTGCCAAGCAAACCCTGTGAACGTGTCCTTGAAGTCCCCCGGAGTTGGCTTGGACTCCACTTAAGCTTTCTTTGCTTCTGTGGGGCAGCTCCCTGAATGTGGGACCGTTCAGAGGTTTGCAGCTCCCAGAATTCCCTGCCAAAGGACCTGCTGGCTAGGAATTCTGGGAGCGGCAGTCTCCACATATCTTTCAGATGCTTGGTTGGGCCAGGCTGCTATTTGAATGTCATTATTTGCCCTGTGAGGTAGTCCAGACAAGAAGCAGAACGAGGAGTACTAATTCTATCTTTATTGTAAGGTTGCATTAACAGAATCTTGCAAGACTGAAAGCATTTCTCCCCTCCTTTCCTTTTGCTCTCTGGAAAACTCGGGAGGGTCCCTTCTGAGATGCTTCCCACGTCCCCTTTCTTTCTGGGGGCTGAGATACTGTTTCCGCGGCAGTTGTCCTGTCTGCAGCTCTTCCTCCTGTCTCCCAAGGTCGTTCCCACAGACCATTAGAGTTGTCCTTTGCTTTCATTCACTTATATATCTCCCTGGGGGACAACCTTATATGAGGGGAAGCCTGTACAATTCTGAGCCCTTCTTAAACACACCCCAATTTTTCTCCCACCCCCTTTTTTCTTCCTCCCTCTTTGCTTTCGCATCCCTTACAGGGACTAAATCCTTTCTCCTTCAGAGTTGCAATTCCCCTATCCCTTTTTTCTTACTGCTTCTCATTCCATCTGATAAAAGAGCATTTGCTCTTGAAATTTCTCCCAAAGGATGAGAGCATTGGGGGGGTGGGGGGGGAATGGGGTCTTCTTGCCCTTAACGAAGCAAAAAGATGGCCAAAAGGTACGTGTGAATGTCCTTTTTGGGGAAAAAAATGTCTGCAGCGTGCCTGGCTTTGCACTCTTCTGTTCAGTTGAGAGGACCCCTTTGCGGGGGGCTTTGGGGGAAATGTGAAAAGGAAGGGGAGCCTTGCGGGGGGTGAGGTGACATCCTATGAAATAACAGTATCAGTACTGGCCCTCTTCACTGCTTCCATCAAAGAAAGTAAGCTTAAAAACGTCCCCAGAGGAATTCAAAGGAAACTGGGACGCACCCTGAGAGCAAGCAGGGAAGCAGAAGAAAACAGGTGATAAATTGTTTCAGCGCAGGGTCACAGGAGAGGAAATCTGTCTTTGTAGCTGGCATCTTCATTTCCACAGCAAACCGCTAAGAGAAAAGGGAAGGGGGGAGGCGGGACAGGCACCCTGTGGATTTTGGAAACAAATCAACAACCTGACAGTGAACGTAGGCGTCCGGTGGGGCCCTGGGTTCAAGCTAGTCCAGTCCTAGCCGACTTGATTTTTGTTTTCCCCAAGCAATGTGGCAGGGCACGATGTGGATACTGTTGAGTTTCTTCGGCTAACAGCTTAATATTCTTCGGTTGTCTTCCGTTGCCGTTTCAGGGGTGTGAAGGGCACACCGCGCGGAAGCCATGAGCCCCGTCTGTCTGCCTTTCATCTTTCTACTGCTGCTGGAGAGGATGTCTCATGCGCACTTCCCCGAAGAATCGGGGCCCATCAGCATCGCTCTGGAGGACTGTAAGTGCCAGGAGCAGCCGCGAGGCAACAGCTTTGCCCAAGAGGTTTTGCAATCAGTTTTCCAAGGGGGGGTATCCCATTGAACTATTGGAGAATTCCCCCCCCAAAAAAAATTTAAATCTCCCCCCTTCACTGCTATCTTGCAGCTGTGAACCAATTTTAGGACTGTGCAATGTTTTTACATAGACATATACATATTCATATCTCTTCTGTGAAAAAGAGCACTGGGGTTGGCCTTTCTCTTGCAGACGCTGCCTGTGGCTTATATCTGCAAATAATTTTGGTTTTGCAGACTCCTGAGGGGGTCTTGGGGGATTCCCCAGGGGTTCTTGGACCACGCTGTAAGAAACACTGGTATATATTATGTACTGCTCTACTTCCTCCTGGGATTCTGTAATGTGTGGCTGCATTAACCTGAATAACCACGAGGGGGCAGCAAAAGATACGGAAAATGTGAAACCTTTGCTGCCCTTTAGTGGCTGTTTGGCTTATTGCAGCCCAATTATGGTAGCCCTTTCCTGCAGGACCAAGTTTGTTGGAAGTCTGGAGCAAGGAACAGGGAGTCCAGCAGGCATGGGGGGCCAGCAGGCCCCCAAGTGGCTGCCTCCCCTGTTTGCACTCTATTAAACCCCTGGCTTTGTCATCTTCCAAAATGCAGTCATTCCTCTGCAAGGATGGGGGTTGCAGACTGACTGGGTGAACCTTTGCAATGACCTTGGGAGACAGGAGGAAGAGCTGCAGACTAGGCAATGGTCAGATCAGAGGCCAGAAGGAATGGGGGCATGGCAAATCTTTCGGAAGGGACCCTCCCTAGTTTCTTGGGCTGTAAAGGCAGGGGAGAGAAATGTACTTCTTGTCTGGACTACCTTACAGGATTGATGTCAGCCTTGCAAGGTAGTCCAGACAAGAAGCACATCCAGGAGTACCAGCTCTATCTTTATTATAAGGTTACATTAACAGAATCTTGCAAGTCTGAAAGTACATCTCTCCCCCGTCCGCTTTACAGTCAAGAAACTAGGGAGGGCCCCTTCTGAGATGTTTGCCACACCCCCATTCCTTCTGCAGGCTCAGCTGCTGCTTATCTGACTGTTCCTTGTATGCGGCTCTTCCTCCTGTCTCCCACGGTCATTCCCACAGACCATTACATCTTTGCATGGAGAGGAGCAGGGATTTGAACCCACCCTGATCCAGACCTGATCCTACGTCCATCAAAAATGCCAGGGCAGTCCCCGCTTGGCTCTTCCACATCCTGAGGTTGGATAACTAGACCGAGAAGGCTTTGGGTAGTCCCCAGTAATGTCCCACCCACTTTTTCTGGATTTCCTGCAGATGTGAAGCAATATGCCGTCTTCGTGGGCAACGGACTGGGCCGGTTCGCCAGCCAAGACGGTGGGGCTGAGCGCCTCCATATCCAGCGGATGCTCACAATCAACAGGACTTTGTTTATTGGGGAGAGGTAACCTGATGCAATCTCGTTCCCCTTTTTGACTTTTCCGTGGCATCCGACGTTCCACAGCATGGCCCCCTTTCCAATTTTGAAACTTTCCCCTGATAAGCAGCTGCTCAGGGTGGCCAGCCAAGTGTGTCCTTATGCCATCTCAGATACACTGCCTCTGATGGTGGAGGTTCTATCCATTCTACACTGCTAGCTGTAGCCGTTAGTTGGCCGAGGTGGTGTGACAACACGGAGCGCTAGTTCCAGTTGGTCTGAGAGAGGTCAGAAATTTTGCAATCGAAGAGGATTGGATTGGATTGGATTGGAAGCAGGAGAAACTTGTCAATAGGACTGAGATAGACCCTTTGAGTCAAAAGTCATTTTACAGAGCTGTCTAGAGCAGTGTTTGTCAACCGTGGCCACTTTAAGAGGCGTGGACTTCAACTCCCAGAATTCCCCAGCCAACATGGCTGGCTGGGGAATTCTGGGAGTT